GTTCTTGTTATTGTTACAAAGTGAAATCGGATGAGAGTTGAACTGATGAACGAGAATATGCGAAGTAAATAAGAAATGTTTGTTTAAAGGATCTACATACTGAAAAAGGAGTTTAGATTGACATGACATGCTTTCCTGGATGAAGATATCAATCCCTTGTTTCTTGTAGGATTTGTTCATTTACCTTTTTCCGGGATCTTGATGTATATACATCATGTATAAGTATAGGGTGGCATTATCAAGAAAAAGGAATGGAAGTGACTTCATTAAGTTTCAATTTGTTTGCATAGAACTCAAATCAAATTTCAATGGATATAATGCGGAAGGGTTCCTCAACGACGATCCTTTGAAACAATAAACAGTTTGAAATTTGAGTTCAGTCTCTGCATGACCATGATGATTACTGTTCTCTGACCTAAATTAAAGAGTTGCAAATGTACAAGTACACTGTAACTTGAGAATCAATCAGCATCCAATGGAAAATCCTTTACAATCTACAGCAAAAAAGCATGTGTGTGCATGAACAAACTTAACCAAACATTAATTTACTTTTATTACAAAAGAAAAGACTTGTAAGAACAGACAGTTCTTTGAAAAATGCAAGTAAATTTGATTCCATCATCATCATCGTCTTCATTATGAGGAAAAGTAATCTTCTTGAAAATCGAATTTCGTATCTCTTTGAGATCAAGAATTGATCCTGGGTTTTTCTTTTGTAATTTTGTTTTACTACGGAATGGAATTGAGAAGTTCTTTGTTGGATGTTTAATAATATAGAAAGTTTGTAGCATGTTGGGGATTTTGTTGATGTGGATTTATGGACAAACAACTTAGAATGCTGGAAGGAATGGCATTTTTTCTTTATATTGAATTATTTTTTTGTAACGGAAATTAAATGTTTGAGTTTTAACGGAATTTTCAAATTTGAAATTCAAGAACGTTGTCGAATAATCAAAAAATTTCGATAGGGGTCTGAAACTATGAATTTTTTAGAATCTAAAGGGGTACAAAACTACTTACTTTCTGAATCCAAAGGGGGTGCAAAACTACAATTTTTTTTTGGAAGGGGGTTTAAATTTATTATTTGAAAAACTCAATCAAAATTACCCAAAATTCAAACAAAAAACAAATCAAAACAATTTCAACAACCTAAAATCCACCTTAAAGTAAATCATAATCAAATAAGAACCATAAAACGGAACAATTCTCATCATAAACCAATTTCTTTACTTCCTCCATACATGAATATCACAAGCATAGTAATGAAATAAACTCCAGTTACCCATTGTCATTGAGTTAAAGAGAAAAGGAATCAACATTGTATCCTGATTTAACTTGCTGATGTGTCCTCTCATGCGAAAGGATTCTTTTTTTTTCATTGTGATACAATCACTGAAATTCACCTCGAGGCCATTTTCTCTTTTTGACATCTTCCTTCCTTCATCAATCTTACTGTATGTCGACTTTATGTAAAACTCATTTTCTGTGATTTTCATCGAGTTAAAAAAATATTTTGTTGCTGCTCAAACAACATTATAGCTATGATGATAACTTTTTATAATGTGAATCTAATAACTGAGTAATAAAGTCGAAATTTATACTTTCATTTGCGGCTTCATGTATATTTTTTTGGACGTCACGCATGTGTAAATAATTCAATTTGTAATGCTATATAGCATAGGAACAAAAGGACATTGATAATGAGGTTAGGATGTAGATAATAAAAAAAAATTTGAATAAAAAGATTTTGTGCCTTCAAGGCACCTCAATCGACAGCTCTCCCCTGTCTCATATTGTTCAACCTACAAAAGTCACGTTGAGCAAAAATGTTAAATCGATAGTCGTGATTTGGGTGATTTGTAATTTGATTTGGACGTGTAGGTCGGTTTTTGAGGTGACAGTCTGTGAAAATGGAGTGAATTGATACATTATTTAGATTATAGTAAAAGGGAAATTAAGTTCAACAGTTTTAAAAAATTCAAACTTTAACGGCTTTTGAAAATTCCAAATTTAACGGCTTTTGAACGTTTAAATTTTATCGGTTTTCAAAAATTCAAATGTTAACGGATTCCAAAAATTCAAATCCAGATTTTTTTGAACGCATCCAATAATGTATCCCCAAATTCTCACCTACATACTTGACATTGATCAATAATTGGATGTGAAAATAGATTCAGGAAAGGGACATTGATTGCTGTTCAATAAATTTAATTTACTTCAAGTTGAATTTTTCACATTATTCCTTAATATGTTTTCCTTTCTTCACTTAAGTGACCCTCGATGGAGGAAATTGAAAGTAGGCAGACATGAAATTGAAGTATAATATGGACAAAAGATGCTATAATCGCTCTCAAGTTGTAAGAATAGAAATAAAAATGTTGATGTTGATCTATAAATTGAATTTCCAGTCCTTCTACATCCATACTTATATTTGGGGGATTAAAGGAAATATGAAGCAATAATGCAACATGAATATTTGATTCTATAAAAACCTGAGTATAAATATCAAAATAATCTCAACATAATCTGTGATATTTTTGACGTGGTTTATCATTACACAATCTTGTTTGTCTAACCACACGGTGAACGAGGAATTAAAATCACTTCCATTGTGTGCTGCTCTGATCCTACATGAACACATTTCGTTTTTGAAAATTGAAATAAAGTTTCATGTTTCAAAAATTTGTCTTAAATTTATTTTCTAATTGAATAATAATTTTATTTAATAGTTGAACCAAAAGAATAATTTAAGTTTAATAGGAGCAACATCAACAACATGGAAATACAATTGAAGGGAATTTCCCTAAACTGATTTCAACATTTTTACATGATGATGATGTAAAGTTATCACATTACAATTTGTACAAATGAAATTCAGTTCATGAGGGTAAACTGACTGACTATGTTGTACTGTGCTGTGTGCATTTCCTAATTGATATTAGATTTGCTTCGTTCTTCTTCCTCTTCTATGGTTCGTTGAATCAATAAATGATATTGCAATGTTAATAGTCAAGATTTCATCTCCGGATTCCTATGGGAATTAAGAATATTGTTTCTTTATCATGCTTGTGGATTAGTTTTTCTTCTTGTGAGAATGTGGCTGTATCGGAAGTAGTTCTGATTTTTAATTTAATCTACAGAAGTTTTGTAACGGGTTAAAATTTGAAAAACTTTTTATCAAGATAAGCAAAATTCAATTTTTTGAAAACCGTTAAACTTTGAATTTCTAAAAACCTTTAAACTTTTAAATTTTGAAAATAAATTGAAAGATTATGTATAGAAATAAATAAATTTCTATAGACTTAAAATGCCATTACAATTTCAAAGAATCTTAAATCAACCATCTTTAAAGAAATTAAAGTCGGTAGCAAGATATCCAGCTCACTGCACTCAACAAACTCAAAATTTACTTGTCGCGACAGCTATTCTAAAACAATAGAAATGGCTGCTTTATTCCAAACAAAAAAAAACTTCCAAAAGTGCCCAAAAAAGTAAAAATCAAAGACAAAAGGAAGCAAACACTCAAGAGTCAATCAAACATGTTTACCAACATTTCTTATACGTATTTCTCCTATTCTTAGTCTCATAATTATGTACACTTGAGACATATAAGAGATTCTATCCCATTGTTTATAAATAAAAACATTCCACTTTAATTCGTTGTCTTTTTTTTCGTTGTTTAACCTCAAACATACACACATGATGTGTAGATGCATAGCGCGACAATTAAGAGGCATTCTAAGTCCTTTTGAGTGAACCTGTAAATATTTACATGAAATATTCTTTTTTTTTCATTCATTCATCATCATCTGGCAAACATCTCTCCAGCCTTATTATTAGTCTTTAGGCATTTCTAGTGATGATGTCGGATACAAAAAAAAGTATTTAATTGCAAGACAAACTTTCAGTGGTTTCGATTCACTTCTGTCCTCTTGTTTGTTGTATCAATTCTATTCGTCGCCATCAGGTAGCCAAACATTATGGATGCTCGACAGTCAATAGAAGAATTGAATTTCTGGGACCTGACTAAAATCAAATTATAACCCTATCGTCTATTTTTATTTTTCGTTCATTAACCATCGTAACGTATCATTTTCTATTCAAAATAAATGTCTCATCATTTCAGCTAACCAGGTTCCGATTGAAATAAAGGCGAAATATTTTTTTTTCAACGATACACAGTTGATTAAACAGAATGAGAATGATTTTAGTAAATATTTTTGTTATTTCACAAAAAGGATTGAAAAGGGGTTCGTCTTGATTAGGTGGTGTGAGATTCTCGACCATTACTATTGTTCAGTTCAGTTTCTCAAATATTATTATAGTCATGTGAAAAAATAAATAAAATTCTGGGGGGATAACAGCTTGTTGGGAATTTTTTGTAAGAATTTATAGCATTATATTAAAATTTGACACAACCTTTAGAAATTGATTGAAGAATTCTATCAAGGGGGATACAACATGATGGAAATCCAAATTTCATTCAGGGGGAGAACAACTTGTTGGGAAAAAATTACCATGAAGTTTAAGTTGTAATAATAAACTTAATATAATCAAAACTTAAAGAAAATTTAAAATTTTCTCATCATTTTTTCCCCTTATATTGTTCTCCTTTCAGTTGCCAATTATTTTTCCACTATGTTCCTCCTTCAAGTGGTTTACCCTTTATCAAGTTGTATCCCCCTACCAAATTGTTTTGCCCTCTAAATTGTATTTCCCATCTAGTTGTTTTTCTCACCAAGTTGTTATCCCCCTTCATTTTATCCCTTTCATCTTTAGTCAAATAGAAAAATTTATGCGTAGTAACAGTAGCAAACGGCAGCGGCAATAATAGCGTTAAATTATATACCTTCTGGTTGGCAATTTGGTATCGATTTTTTTCCATCATCATCATCATCTCCTCCTTTGTTATATTGAGCCATCGACATTATAACTTTATTTTCTCTCAAATGCAAATTGACCTTGATATCTAATATGTATGTTCCTTTCTATAATTACAGATTAAATCAACCGCCGCTTTCAGGAAATAACTCTAATAATCTTGGTGGACGACATTTGCATCCCACACTTTCAGCAGATACAGATTCCGATAGTGATTCAGATATATCGTTAGGTACTCATTCACCCATACCGTCAATGACGTCACAACATAGTCCTAATTCAAGTTCCGGACTTAATGATCGTGATTTAGAGCGACTTGCAGAGGAGCACAGGGATTCACGTGGTGAGAAAGATTATCGCAATTTTGCGTCGCTTCAGTCATTTCGTTTCGGTGAACACATTAATGTTGCTGGATTTGCAAGTGAGTATAACAGACATCTTTTATACTGAATAATTTTTTTTATTCAAAAATGCTCGAAAAAAAATTTGAAAATTTTAACGATTTTAAAATTTTTGAATTTTCAAAAGTTTTCAAAAATTTTTAACAATATTTTTTTTATGTTCCATTCGCAGACTCATTTAATCGACAATTTCTACCCGGAATGCCTTATCGAATAGGTGAGAATGGATCACCAACTCATTCACCACCGATTGGAGTAACTCCATCGACATCACAAACAGGAACCTCAACGACAATTTCACAATCACAAGCAGCATATAGCTTGCCAGGCGGTCTTATTCGCCCACAACCTCAATTACCACAAAATGCAGCTATCTCAGCTATGGTTGCAGCTTGTGTCGCAAACGGTCAACAGCAGAATGGAAGTGCAAATCAGACACTCCTTCAACATCACTTAAATCAACAAGCAGCAGCAGCAGCAGCCGCAACACAAATCTCTCCATTGAGAATACGAATAAATTCGCCCACGCGCATTAACTCAACATCGTCAGCATCTCAAGCATCAAGTGATGTCATGACGACATCATCAAGCCCGACAATTCCTGGACAGACATTTCTACCGACGCAAAAGCATCACTCACTTCACATACTGAATGGTGGACATCTGGCAAGAATATCACAAATGAGTCAACTTCATCGACCATTTGAGTCACCTTCACCACCAACATCGAGAGGCAAGGAAAGCTCGTGACTACCGCAAGAAGTTAATGCGTAAAAAAATAAAATAATGATAATTTTGTATGTTAAGGGGAGAGTCACTTGTGATGTTGAGGGGACTTCAATGAGAGGGGGGAGGGGTTGTAAAAATTGGAATTGAAGGAATTTACTTATTAGAGGGGTTTTTAACCTCCAAAATGTGAGATATGCTCTTATTTGAGATGATATGAATTAATAGTACAGACGTCACAAGTGAATGAACCCCCGGCCCCCTAAATTGTAAATACATTTAAATAATTTTTTCCCATAGCGGAAATGAAAGAAAAGAAGAAATTTAGACACAAAATAATGATAAACTTCAGATTGACTTTGTGGATATATTCACAGATCAACTATAAAGTTATTAGTACAAGAAATTTTTATGAGAAATTGAAAAACTCACTCAAAAAATAATGAAAAAATGCAATCTAAACAGAAAAGAATAAAAGAATAATGAAAAAAAATTACAAAAAAGAAATTAAAAAATTATTATAGGAATATTTTATGAAGCATTAAATAAAAATTAAATTTGAAAAAATCAATTCGACTTTGAAATTTTTTATTTTTATGAAAAAAAAATCCAGAATAGCAGAAAAGAAGGAAAGAAAGAGAAAGAATTGTAATAATAACAAAAATAATAATGTCAATCAAATGAGGCGTGTCTCTTTCTATGTACAACGCACATTTCTCTTTCTTCTCTTTCTAAGCCAATCCAGAAAGGAACGCAAGCGAGAAAGCAAATCGTAAAGAAAATCAGTTACGGTTTATGCTAGGGTGATTTATTGATCTGATATACTTTTTATATTTTCAGTATTTACTGTATATAATTTTTTTTTGTATACTCACTGACTGCCTTTATACTCTGCTCTATTCAATACCAAAATTATACACAAAAAAAAAATAATGTTGAAATCTATAATCGGAATTTACTGTAAAATGAAACCATCGAGGTAAGCCTCAATGATGATGATGATGATGATAGTTTCACAAAACATAGATATAGATTTCATCGGCATTAAAATATAAATGCACAGATCTACATATACTTTCGTACACAAGGGGTGAGGTGATAATTATTGCAGCTGCCTGGATAGAAATGTTTGACTGACATGATTCAAAAAATGCTCTTTCATAAACAACTTTTTAAAGAAGCCTTAATGGTCAATTAATGGAGACGGACAGTTGGGATTGTTGCTTATCTTGGCGTAGCACATTCCAAAAAAGTAGGTTGTTTTAAAAGGCAATGTGGATTAATTTTATGAGATCCTAGATGAGGTATCATGTTTAGTCATGGTATGGCAATGTGGATCATGAGATAATTTCTTTTTAAAATCAAACAAAATTATTTGCCATTTTTGTCATAACAATTTTCATACTTCATTGGAATTAATCTATAAGAGTCACATCATCTTCGTGAATATGAAATAAATTAGGTTCGAATCCTATCAATATCTTTAAGAAAATTGATTTCATAGTTTGAAATACGTTTTTTTTTTTGTTTAAAATTATTTTTCCACACCTTGACAGCAATCGATTCCCAAAAAGAAAAAATGAATCTCTATCCTCAAATATGAAAACAAATGAGCGATAACAATCACACATGATAGACGTCCAAATTATCAAATATATATAAAATATTATAAATATTTGAAAAAGCAAATCACATCCAAAAGCTACAGATGAGATGAAAATATCAAATTTTTTTGCTGACATCATCATTAACGTCTCAATTCTTTCTTTCTTTCCACGGTCCATTTCAATTTTCAGTTATCATTCTCCTTTATTCTTACTTACTCACTGCTGCTGAAGCCCTTTTGTTCTGTCTGAGCTTATAGCTATTCAATCTTTCACAGTAAAAGAAATGAGAATCAACAAAATAAACAAACATTGAAAGCAGGCAATGAAACAAAAGATTGAAATGAAATTCACTTGAGGAATGAGTAAAGGCTTTTTTTTGAAGATATACCAATTTAGATCCATCAACGAGATCATTTCACAGCGGAATTGTAATGGTTATATGGCGTCGACCGCTCAAAATTTAGCATTTTCGCTTTGTTGAATATTTTTTGGCTAGCTTTAAATAATCACTTTATTTTGCTTGTGTTTCAGGGGTGCTGGATAAAGCAGTAAGTTTGGACTAGTTTTTTTTAAGTGTCCGTCGTTGATTTATAATTTAAATTGAATTTTTGTAGGGCTTGTGGAGCTCTTTTGACTTATTTTCAGACACATTTATATGAGACGAGTCCGAAAACATGCATATTGTGGCCACATGACTTTAATTTCCATGATGAGCTGTTTAGGACAATCGTTTATGTAGCTGCGATATGTAGAATGACTATAATGTTGAAAATCAGTTTAACTAGCATTATTAAGCCTATACCAAGACTAATTAGACTTCAAGTATAGCCATTAGACACTATAGATTGATAATTTGGTATTTATACTTTGTGGAAGTTCGTAGGAAGTCCTATTTCTTTAAACTTTTGACATACTCTTAAAAATCACTAATTTTCTGCGTCACATTAATCCACAGCTCTTAATCAATCCCCAACATTCTCAACAAAAAATTATAATTTAGCTCAAACCCACAAAATAATTGAAACGAAAAATCAATGACCAAACAGAAAACAAATCATGTCCATTCATACAATCCAATCGAAATTAAAACGTCATGATATGCAAAATGTTAAAACAAAAGGTTTCCATTTAAAATCCCTGCTTATAAATCATTATTATAGTAATAATAAGTGTGTATACTTTTAGGAAAAAGAGAGAGGAAATTTTATACTGGAAAAGAAGAAAACTGGTACGGGGGTCTTAGGTTTGAATCATTGTTGATGAAGTCTAACAACCAAGGTAAGCTTGGTACGGTATTTTTCTGATTTTTGTTACGTTTCTTAATCCTAATCCTAACTTTTTGAAAAATGGAGTTATTTAAATCGAAGACCCCCACTTGTAAAATATACACGCCACTATACAAATATATATATTAAACATTATGGCAATGACATGACGATTTTTTTCTGTATTCCTTTAGCTTCAACTACGCTTCTGCGTTTTTGACAAAGTGATCAATTATTTATATACATGATTTATATTTCCAATGAAGTGATACATCGAATATATTCCAACATGAATGGCGTTAAAATTTTCATGTTTTTTTTCTAGAGATATTATTTTTTTATTTTAAATATTTCATTTCAATTCTCTTGTGATGGCATGTTGAGTTGTTTTATACGTTTTATTATTTCAATGGCATTCCATCAAATCATGATTCCAGTGAAAATTATTTTCAGAAAATATTAATGTTGGCGCCTAAGATATATATCGGTACTTTGCCTGTGCTGCATTTAATTAATTTCAATAATGTGTGAGAAAATGAGCAAAATGTACGGCAACAATGGAAAAAATAATCTAATTTTATATCAAACAATGTGATGCGATTAATGGTGAAAATTATTATGAAATATAATTCATGTCTGATATGAAAGACACAAGTTTGATTGATATTCGTTAAATTTACCTATTGCATGTTCATGGGTAATCATTCTCATTTCACCACATATAGAGCTATATCGAAATATATTGCACACTTCACATTTATATTTCATACAATCAATTCATATATCTTGGATGTTATCTACAAGGTAAAGGCATTGGAACTTTTTTGGAGGTGTCGAATTCAAAAATTAGGAATTTGGAGCTGAAATTCTGGATAAGAATAAAAATACTCTAATGCTAGTGTGTGAGCTGAAGTGTCTCAGTGGCTGAATGGTTTATGACTTCGGTACCTAATTATTGAAAAACAGACACAGCGATCATGGGTTCGAGACTGGGTATGAGAAATTTTTTAGAATTATACGTACTGCAAATGAAGAACACAGCCTGTTTTTGTAGGCTCTAGACAGAAATGTCATAAAAGAAGTGATTCAGATTTAACTATAAACTGTAGCTCTAGATTTGAGCCGAAGATCTAGTAAATATCATTCCACAGTTGTTTATGATCCAACTCATGCTAAATGACCCAGCCCTGAGTCAATCTCTCACTCAATATGCGCATGCCAGTGACGAGTGAAGAACAAAAAACATGATTAACTAATTCATAAATAAATCGACATTGTCGTTTATTCTAATTAATCTATACACAATAATAATAAATTTTATGATGCTTTATTCATCATTCTGCTTATATCCCAAAATTATTCATAAAATTTTTGTTTTAAAATGTTATATCGGAACTTTTAATTCATCTCATAAATATTCTTTTTCTACTAAGAAGCATTGGAGGTTTAAACGAATTCTTTCCCTTCCATTACGCAATCAATTGTGCGTGCCTTATATTTGCACGAGAGATTGTGAATATAAAAAAAATCTCGTCAATTTGCATTTTTATTAAATTCCGACATGTTTCTTTTCTGCCACTGTTCCTTACTGCTATTTGGTTATATAACACAACAGTCGAAAAAATATAAAAGGAAGGAGAGTCAAGGCAGGCAGTTGGTTTGCAGTATATTTCCTAATTTTTATTTACTTTTGAAATTTTATTCCTTGTTTCGTATAGCCTCAAATGTATAGGAGTCAGTATTAACCCTTAAATCACGTCTCGTGATGTTGATAAAACGTTTCCTTTCGTACACTTTTTAAATTATGATTTATTTGGGAATGTGTCTTGTGGAGTGAGGATTTTTGAAGTTTTGTTGATGACTTCTTGTGAATTGCGGTTAATTTTGGCTACTGCTGTTTGTGGTTGAGCTGGTTTTTATCAAGTTAGAGCTTAATAAGACATATGTTTGGTGCTGAAGCTAGGTTCTTGGGTATAACATTAGGAGACTCGAGAAAATGGACCCAACGATTCATTATTTGTGGCTTGAAAGCATAAACTATCGATTATTGAGTAATGTGAGTGTGTTCAGTCACTGGATTAAAAATTTATTTAATAAATACCAATGAATAGTCAGTTGAAAGCATTATCATTAAGATTGCAGCTATTCGAGACACAAAAATAGGACATAAAAGGTCTTATTAAGTATTATTTGAGGCATATGCGTAGTTAAGAAGTCTATTAAAGTTCCAAATCCTTTCAATTGTTTCAAATAGTTTGTGATTCTGATCAAGACCCACCATGGCATGATACACACTCCAAGGAATAGTTTCTAGTGCTGTCTGTGGCACTTTTCTTCAAAATCAAAAAGCCTTTACTCAGACATATTGGATCCCCTCACATTCATGTTTAAAACTACATCCACATGCCATACAATTCTATTAATCTGTTAATAAAGCATCATCAATTTAGAGTTTTTTTTTTGCAACTGTCTACGAACCCGAAATCCTAGAAAATTAATTTCAATGAAATAATAAAAAGAATTTTTATTTTCCATGAGCATCCACAAATTGTTCATCTGTATATCAAATTTCATGCCTGTAC